TCGTCATCGTTGTCAGCGTCTCTCCATCACCCGCTACCGCCTCCATCATCAATTCATGAGATTCGCCCGACAGTGTGAACACGACCCCGCCACATCATCGCCACCCATTAGGAGCAGTATCGAAACGAAACGATTTTGGTAGCAGTCCTGTTGGAGCTGTGTTGGGGCCAGCTCGCAAGCCGTGTTTGACTTCTGAAGATTTTTTGAGTTCGTGTGACAGTCTTCTGACGTAGTAGTTGCGGAATTTCAAGAACTTCAAAGTGGTTTACCATGAAGACAATTTACATGGAGCGGATTTTTGAGTCATCATGATTCGCGTTTTTTTGTGACACGGATATATTTCAACGGCATCTTGGAAGCTGAGTATGAGAATTTCCAGCAGCAGTGTGGGATTCTTTCGACTACCCTGGAGCATTGGGTTTCTTTGAGTTTTACCTGGGAACTTGGGAGCTATTTCTTCTTAAAGGGGGGAGAAGTGCAGTAGTGCTGCAATTTTCGTTTGACCCTTCGGCGTGTTCCATCATCCATCTTCGAGTAGCATTCGTTGCCGTTACTCTTCCACGCCTAATTTCGTCACTTCGTTGATGGAGTTCGCTGACTTTCGTGGGATACGGACGCGTGCTCTCGCATATGATACGAACGGCGCCGCGTTTGATGAATGGGTTATTCATTTCATCGACCATCACGTTATTCACCAGTCATCATTTCAAGATATTCAACCGCCACGTGCCATCATCAATCGACCACTCGGCGGTTTCACTGTTCATTGTCTTCCCCTGAAATATTTACCCTTGCCCGTTTGGTCAGCAGAAGAATTCGACCATCTTCGACGACTGATATTAAAAGCGATCGTTTCGACGTTTTCTGACAATCGATTTCAGTTCGACCTCAAGACCTCGTCAGGCCGGCGTAATCATTACGCTCGTCACAGGGCTGAAGACCTCAGTCACTTCGGGGATTAGCTTGGATAAAAGGTTCGACCTCGATAAAGGGAGTGCCTTCTTTTAGAAGGTGGGAAAAAGTAAGGAATTACGATTCCTTACTGGGGCTCGCCACAACGAGTACACACTCTCGGTTTCGCAGGCTCGGCCCTTGGTTCTCGCGCGAAACCAGCCCCTGTTGAACTTTTCGGCCCCAACCTGATCCCGAGTCTCCCCGAACCCATTTTGACCCCGTCACCCTTGGGACTGTCGAGCCCTTGACTGGTCCAACACTCGACATTCAACCCTGGTCAACTTGCACTATATAAGCGCTAGGCCTCATTTCTATCGTCATTCTGTAATCAAGTTCCCCTATAGTATTCTGCGCTATACTCGGAGTTATAATTCATAACAGCAGCCCAAAGCGAAACCAGGACCATAGGTGCCACACCCTAAACCCCTTTTTGGAACATAGGTTTTACATCAAACTCCAACTCGTAGAAATATCGGTCAACAGATATCGAGGATGGTGACCACGTGCTGGACTAACCCAACCCTGGATTCCCCTCCCCTGGTTTTGCCGCCCCTATCTTTGGTTTACGGAAACCTAATTTCCGTCCAACTTGTCCTTCACGTATTATTGTCCTCCTCGTAGAACCGTCTAGTCTCCTACATCCGCCGGGTCTTTAATCCGCGAGGCAATCATGCGGAAGTAAGCTTGAGAACTGTTGGGGTCGTCTCTGTGCGCAAGGGACCAGCACCTGCAGCAGCAACCAGACACCGGCTCGGCACCTTTGCCATTTCGCTCACCGTCCATTTTCTCTCGTTCCCCGCAGCGGCAGCAGCTCTCGAAACCCCCTTGGCTAGCGATAATATTTATCGCACACGAATCGCACACGATGTCAAACCTGCTCCAAGACCACCTGCTTCAGCAGCCGGGTCGGCAGCAGCAGGAGTTTTGAGGCGCCACAAAACAGCTCTCGCAACCCCCTTGGCAATCGATAAGAATATTTCATCGCTTAGGATCATGTCAAACGTGCTCCAACAGCACCTGCTTCAGCAGCCGGATCGGCAGCAGCAGGAACAGCAGCTGCTGCCGCCGTTGCAACAATGGCGGCATCACCAGGACACACCCCCGCAATCGGCGGCGGATTCACTCGCGGAGCCCCTTTCTCTCTATCGCATTTGCCGTGAGAGGATTCGAGGAGCGAGCTTGTATGCGTTGGATGGTAGCAATATAGCTGATGGTCCTGGTGTTACTGTAAATGCACCATCACCTCTGATCGCATCTGGGCCGTTGATCTCGCACTCGTCTCGCAATCCAACAGGTCGGCAGCTCCTGCACATGCCGTTTGGCTCAGCACCTGCGGCAGCGGTGACAGCAGCAACACCAGCACAAGCATCTGTACAAGCAGCGCTGCCAGCAGGCGAAGGACCAGCAGCAGAAGCCGCAGCAGGGATTTCAGCACGAGACGAAGCCGCAGCTGCACGGTTAGGGTTAGGAGCAGAGCGACGGAGTGGAGACGAAGTCACGGAGATGGACGCTGGTGTTGTTCCCCATGGGGAAGAATCAGGGGACGCATCACCTGTGTTTCAGCTGCAATGTATGGCGGCTGAATCTGGGAGGGTTGTGGAGCCAAGTGGAGAGCTGGAGAGATGGCTGCAGATGAGACAAGAAAGTCAACAGAGTCAACAGGGTCAGGAACGGGTGCGGAGTCAACAACGGCAGAGACGGAAGGGGAGAGCAGGCGAGGAAGCGGAGGATGGGGGGGAGAGGGAAGAGGGAGTGGTGGGTGAGGATGAGGGGGAGGGGGAGGAGGAGGGGGCGGAGGAGGGGGAGGGAGATGAGGGAGGGAAGAGAGCAAACAAGAGGAGGAGAGAGCGAAGGCAGCAGTGGCAGCAGGATGACGGAAGGGGAGGGATGGATGGGGCAGCATGTGAAGTATGTCCTTCTCCGGAGCATCTGCTGCACTCACATGTCCAGATGTTCAAGTCTATCCGCAGAAGGTGGGTGTTCTCAACTTCTCATCAGTATATTTGTCCTCGTGGACTTGTCAGTAATGTTTATCTTCTTTTGCATCCACTCATGTGTTTCGCATGATGGACAAGATGCTGGGGTTGACTTATGTGCAAGCTGGCTTTAAAATTTACTAGAGCTTCTTCCTCTTTGGGTCGTACAACCTCACTAAACAGTCTACTTCCTCCAACCTTGCTTCATCCTCTGTTTTTCCTTCTTACGTGCACTCACTTCAAATAAACTGTTCTTGCTGCCTTTCCATGTCTTCCTCTTGTTGCAGACATCAGGAGGAATTTATTGTTAGAGCCAAGAAGTCCATGAAACAACTCCGAGCGATATTGGTTCCTGCAGGAGGCCATACCCCACTCTCATCGTCTCTTGTGCTCCCATCTATTGATGATTCGTATATAATGCGCTGTCTAGGGATAACCGGCCAATTGATTTAGTGGGATTCACAAAAGCAAAACGTGTCTTATTGTTATGCTCTTGAGATGTGTCACATTGTATTCGTATTGTGCAACTAATGAATCATGTAATGCTGGAGACGATGCAGTCGGCAAGTTGCCACAGAGGTTGGTTGGTGGAGTCAGTTGATGCTACCACATGCCCTGCCGATTGCAGGCAATGGCACTGCCACTGTCCACTGGGCCTCAAGAAGACGAAATTGCTTTCCCGTACAGATGGGACTGTACGATTTCCCTTCTCTCCCTCAGGTTCCATTGCATACAGTAAAACAAAATGGTACAGTGTGCGGTGTAACACCAGCCCGAAAAACGATTTGAATTTCGCGGGCACCTTGAAGCAGAAGCAGTCTAGTTTCAAGGAACAGATGGGGAGGACGTTTTTGGAGTCTTGTTCATTTCCAGCGATGAGGAATCAGGGCGCATTCCCCCTGAATCACTGTATATTTTCCCTAAAGCTATCGACCGTGTAGATCCTAACACGTCAGAAAATGATGAGATGTAACTCTCGAACCGTCCGCACTTCATGTCAGTTCTCATGACATTAGGGGAGAACTTGCCCTCAGTTCTCGCAACAAGACACTCGCACTCGCACAGCACAGCCCCCTCACGTCAATTCCGAGCCGCCAAGGACATGCTTGCGTGGCTGTCAGCTTTCAACTCGGTTCGGGACGAGGGCGATTGGCTGGGGCAGGTGATGTGAGGAGCAGCCTTGAAGTTGGACTTTGAACTAACCGTGCATTTTTACCCTTCGACTCTACTGAAATTACTCATACCGAGCTAGACCGTCGCAACAATGTTCCATGTTCAACCACCCTCATAGCCTACTTGCTGAACACGGCTCGTCGTCAACTTGAGAGATGGTGGTTGACAGAATCCACGGCAAAACCGGCCCTGGTTTGCTAGGAACGCGGTTTTTGGGTTGCGGAGCAACCTATTGCAATCGATCGGGCTGGTTTTTTTTTTTTTCAAGTTTGTGAAATAAAAATCAAATGTTTGTTGTGATGGAAATAAAACATTTTATGTATAATAATAAAGTCTCATCATGAAATGCTCCGCAACCCTAAGACGATCTCGTCGCCTCTTGTTTTTTTTTTTTTTTTTTTTTTTTTACTGTACAGTCGATGCTCACCCAATTCCGTACGCAGCGCTTATATCAATCAGAATCACTTCCCAAAACTCGGATTTATGGGCAATGTGATAACGCATACAATCACATATACACAGCACAGCTACCGAATCCACTATACGTTGATTGAGAGCGGAACGAAACTACCACACAATTGCCTGTTGGCACCTCTGTTTATTGACCAGACACAAATATATTAAGAAATTCGGGAAGTATGCGAAATGACGAGCTCGACATTGCCCCCGCGATTCGGGGATTTTTTGAGACTCTCTCGCTCTTGAACTGTACTTGTGTACACGTACTGTACTGTACTGTCTTGTAGTGTACATCGATATTTGAAAGTCCTCTCCACTCTCCAATCGCAGGCCACGTCCCCCCTAGGAAGGAATCGTCGAGTTCATCCAAGCATGCTGTTTGAACAGCGTCGCTTACCTGTGGTTGGTAAGCCGAGCACAGTTGTTGTGTTGTTGTGCACAATATGCCTTGTTGTGTTGTGACGCACAACTTACCTGTAGCGCCAATTAAAGCCGACCTATCAGCGAGGAGTCATGGCCTCACAGTGCCTCGCTACACTATGGTTTGCGCCACTGGCGCGGCAGGCGTTTTATGAGTGACAGGTTAGTCATCCCTGTCTAGGACCAGAGTAACTGGCGCAGCAGCCTAGGCTTCCAGGAAAAGCACCAGCTGTGTAACTTAAAAAAAGTTAGGGATCAGATGCGACCACTTGCCCCTTAGACAAGTCGTCTCCGCTATGGTCAGTGCGTCAGGAGCGGCGATTGCGCTTTTAGAACTCAAAACGCCGCCGCCGCCTCCACCGCAATCCCAGAAGCCGTGTCGCGGCCGCAGGTGTGCAGATTTTCCAGGTAGCGCCGCGTTTGTCGGCGGATTCCGCGGTAGCCTGCTGGGGTGCCGGCAGCAAGAGGGCCTGCTCATGTTTCACAATCATCATCAGCCGCACCCGCCGCCGCTGCCGCCGCCGCCGCCGCCGCTTCAGCCGCAACCACTGGATGCGCCGCAAGGTGGCAACGCCGCACAGCACCGAAGAAATGGCTTCCTATTCGCGGCGGCGCCGGGGGGGCCGGTGGCGGCGGCCTCCGCCGTCGCGGCTCCGCCGGTCGGCGGTAGCCGCACTCCGCCGCCGCTCCCCCTTTTCCCCTTCGTCGCGGCGAGCGTAGCCCCCGCCGCCGCCGCTGCTGATTCCGGGCCGTCAGCTGCTCCCTATCACACCACGGCGCCGCCGCGAAATTCCTCGGCGGCTTTAGTCGCAGGAGGCTTTCTGTCAGCGCCGCCTCCGGGGGCGGCGGCTCCTTCGATTGACGCCGCTTCCGTGATAGGCGCGAGTACGGATAGGCGGACGGACACGTGGCCGGACTCGAGAACGGACATCGGTGGGGCGACGGGCCTAATCTCCCGTGATGACGATCGGCGGCGCGACAGTTTTGGCGCCGCCATGGCCGCCGCGACCGGCGGCGGTTTCGGCGCCACGGCGGCGTCGCCGCCGCTCTGGGGAACTCGCGCAATTGACGGCCACGGCCCCGGCGGTGCGACCGCCAGCGGAAACGCTGCTGCTGCGGCCGCCGCCGCCACGTCGTTTGATGGAGTGTTATGGGGGGAGTCGGAGGGGCAGCAGCAGACACCGAGCACGAATGCCAAGGGGCAGTGGACTCCGGTGAGAAGCGGTGAAAGGGGGTGGAATGCGGTACAGCGGGGCATGTGAGAGGGTTGAAATTGCTGTGGGTGGGGTGGGGTGGGGTGGGGTGCGGTGCGGTGGACTCCTTGTCCCCATTTGGAATGCGCTAGCGAAAGTGGTCATAGCGAGGGAGAGAGTGGTTTGCGTGATTTGAAAGTTGCACCAACAGTATTTTTCTGCTGCCCATCCCGATTACTGTTTACGTCCATTTCAGGAGGAGGATGCTCTCTTGAGGCAGCTGGTGGAGCGGGGCGGAGCCAAGGGGTGGACGGCCATAGCAGCGCATCTGAACGGGCGGGCGGGGAAGCAGTGCAGGGAGCGGTGGCACAACCACTTGAAGCGAGGGATAAAAAAAGTGATTATAACGAGGATAGAGTGTTTGTGAGTGATTGCCATAGCAGCGCATCTGAACGGGCGGGCGGGGAAGCAGTGCAGGGAGCGGTGGCACAACCACTTGAAGCGAGGGATAAAAAAAGTGATTATAACGAGGATAGAGTGTTTGTGAGTGATTGCCATAGCAGCGCATCTGAACGGGCGGGCGGGGAAGCAGTGCAGGGAGCGGTGGCACAACCACTTGAAGCGAGGGATAAAAAAAGTGATTATAACGAGGATAGAGTGTTTGTGAGTGATTGCCATAGCAGCGCATCTGAACGGGCGGGCGGGGAAGCAGTGTAGGGAGCGGTGGCACAACCACTTAAAGCGAGGATAGAGAAGGTGATTACAACGGGGATAACCAAGTCTGCGTGATTCGAGAATACGAGCCATCTCAGTACATGCGGACTGACAACAGCGTGAAAAAACACTACAAACGGCACATTTGCAAACCACTCAACAGCAAATAGACCTCGACTTGATAGAAGATTTGTTTTGAGTCGTCTTAAAACAAATCTAGTCTTGAGGCGCCTCAAAACTAGACTCCTATCACGCAGTTTTGAGGCGCCTCAAGACTTGATAGAAGATTTGTTTTGAGACGTCTTAAAACAAATCTCAACAGCAAATGGAGTTCCACTGCTAGGAAAATCCCTTCAACTGCACCCCCCTTGCTTCCCACTCCACCTGCCTGGTTTGCTGACCACAGGAAGCGTGGACGGAGGAGGAGGAGCACGCATTTGTGGAGGCGCACAAACGGCTCGGCAACAAGTCGGCCGAAATAGCAAGAATACTACCAGGGCGCACCGACAACAGCGTAAAAAACCACTGGAAATGGAATTCCACTTCTAGGGGCGAGAGTCATTTCTTTCTCCCCCCCCCTCCCCCCATCCCCCCTCCAACCGTCACCTTGCTTCCTTCTGTGCAGGAGGCGTGGACAGAGGAGGAGGAGCACGCGTTTGTGGAGGCGCACAAACGACTCGGCAACAAGTGGGCGGAGATTGCAAGAATACTACCAGGGCGCACCGACAACAGCGTAAAAAACCACTGGAATTCCACTGCTAGAAGAAAGGAGGAGATGGGGCGCGGAGGAGGGGCGGAGGGGAAGGGGGGAAGTGGGAGGCCGGGTAGTGCTGGCAGCGCTGGCAGTGCGGGCAGCGCTGGTAGTGGTCGGGGTGGGTATGGTGGACGGTCGAACGTGCTGTTAAGGTATATTCAGTCGATGAAGCAGGGGAAGCGGAGTGAGGGGAAGCAGAGTGAGGGGAAGCGGAGTGAGGGGAAGAGGAGTGAGGGGAAGCGGAGCGAGGGCAGGCGGACCGAGGGGGAGCGGAGTGAGAGCAAAGGGGGGAGAAAGGGGGAGCAGAGGGCGAGGAGTGGTGGGGAGGAGGGGGGGAGGAGTGAAGGGGGGCAGGGGGAGAGGAATGATAGGGGGAAGGGGGAAGTGGGGGGGGCGGCAAGAGGGGGAATGGGAGGAGGTGGTGTGTGTGGAAGGGATGGGGGGAAGGCTGGTAGGGGGGATGGGGTGAGGGAGTGGAGTGAGAAGGAGGGAGGAGAGAGCATGGAGGGGCGAGAGGAGGGGAGTAAGGGAGGGGATAGAGAATGCAGAGAGGAAATCGGAAGAGCAGAGGAGGGACGTATGGAGGTGGAGGGAAGTACGAGGGTGGAAGAAGGTGTGAGAGAGGAAGAGGGGGGGATCAAGGGAGCGGAGGGTGAGGAAGTGAGAGAGGAGGAGGAGGAAGAAGAGGAAGAAGAAGAGGAGGAGCAAGCATGCAGTGAGGTGGAGTGGAGAATGCAAGGGATGCACCTGGAAAGGCCGGCATCGATACTAGCAGCAGCAGCAGGAGGAGAAAAAGAAGAAGAATCAGCAGCAGAGCCAGCAGCAGAGCCAGCAGCAGAGCCAGCAGCAGAGCCAGCAGCAGAATCAAGAGGAGCAGCATCAGGAGCAGCAGCGCCAGCAGCAGCAGAACCAGCGCAGCTTGCTTTGCCTCTAGATCAATCCATGCATCTCGCAGCAGCTGAAGACCCTCGCGTAACAGCAGCAGCCCACGCCCCGTCTCCATCTGTGCGACGCCAATTCCCCCCTGCGGCTCATCTTTCTCTATCTCCAGTGCTCCATCACCCTCCACTTCAATCCTCGCATCCCTTTTCGCACCCAGCTGTTCATCCTTCTTTGACTCCAGTGCTCCATCCTCCGCCGCATCATTCGATACATCAATCCCCGCATCCCTTTTCGCACCCATCCGTCCATCCTCCTTTATCTCCAGCCCTCCATCAATCCCCCCATCCGTCCCCCCACCCCTCTTTGCACCCAGCTGCTCTCTTTCCTCCCACCCAGCAACCACCAATTCCCCCGTCTTCACTCCCCGCTCCTTCTCCGCCGCACTCTCCCCCTCCCGTTCTCTCTCTCTCCCTCTTTCCCACGCCTCTTCCCCTTCCTCCCTCCTCACCTTCGCCCCCGCACCCGCACACAAACTCTAACTCACACACTCCCTCTCACACTCACACTCGCCCTAGTCCGGCTTACCCTCACCAAACTTCCCCCCCATCTCCTCCCCCAACTCACTCTCTTCCTCTCCCCTCATCCTCACTCTGCTCTTCCCCTCCTCCCCACGCCATACGTTTCCCCTTCTCCTCTCAAGTCCAGTCCTCCTCTCCTTACTCCCACCCCTCCCTCTCCTTCCGTCTTCACCCTCCCACTCACCTTCCCACTCATCCTCCTCCCACTCACCCTTCGCCCACTCACCCTCCTCTCTCGCTCCCTCTCTCCTCTCTTCAACCCATTCTCGAGACCACTCCTGAACGCCTCTCGATGTCTGCATCGGCAAGAAGACAGCAAGAGCAGCAGCACCACCATCACAACCACCACCACCACAACCAGCTGCAGCACCTGCAGCATGAGCAGCAGCAGCAGCAGCAGCAGCAGCAGCAGCATCAGCATCAGCAGCAGCACCACCACCACCACAATCACCAGCTGCAGCACCAGCATGAGCAGCAGCAGGAATTGTCAGCTCACTGGAATGCTATGCCCACAGCATCTGCTATGGAGGGGCATGAACGCATGGATGCACAGACTATGGATGTTGACTTCAGGGCAGTAGACGAGGGCTCAATAAGAGAGGGCTTCGTTAGCAGTATAACAGCACGAGCAGGGTGTACATTGGTAAGCGAAGCGGCTTATATGGAGGGAATTAAAACAGAGGAGGAGGTAGCAGAGGTGAAGCCGCTTATTGACACACTATCAGGTGAAGGACTTCTCCCACAGTCACACCCCAACTGTGAGTCACAGGTTCACACACACAGACCACAGCCCCTGCCTTCGATACAAGCACCCTCGGAAGTGCATTATCCGGAGCCTACACCTTCGCTACAAGCACGCTTTGAAGCGCCTCACCCCGTGATAAAAGCACGTCTGGAGGGCGTAAGCTCTCTCCATCCTCAGGCAACCAGCAGCAATCATTCCCTGCCTCCCTTGCCAGCAACCATTCAGGAAACTTCTCAGAAGACACCCGTAGCTCACAATCCAGCGTTTCTAGAGACATCACTCATGCAAGAGCCAGCCCACAAGGCCCACAATCAAACATCCCTTGAGTCAGCACCCATGCAAGAGCCCGCCCACAATCGGTTGCTGCTTGAGTCGGCACCCACTCAGTTGACTCAGGAGCCAGCCCACAAGGCGCACAATCGATCGCTGCTGGCGTCACGGCTGATGCGATCACTGGGAGCGAAGAGGAGCAGGAGGCAGAGCGAAGGGGGGATGGAGCAGTGGCCAGAAAGAGGGGGGATGGAGCAGAGGCAGAGGGAAGGGGGGTCGGGGGGAGGAAGGGAGGGAGGGGCAAGTTTGTCTGCCCAGCAGCAGCAAACACAGGCAAGTTCAGGGGCAGCAGCGGCAAACGCCAACGCCAGTGGTCAGACTTCTCGCGACATTATGTTTACCGGTACTCCACAGAGTATTCTCACTGACTCTTCTTGGGACATTTCATCTGACCCGCAACCTGCCCTGAAAAGACGATGTCTGCTGCAGCGCAGTGTGGCTGGGCCACTGCCCGGCGCTCCTGTAGCGGCGGTGGGCGGCGCTTTCCTGCTGGTCGGCGAACTGAGCCTCACTCTTTCGTCCTCTTGCCTGATGCCGATTTCTGCCGGACAGGAGATATTGGGAGATGACCCTGTGAAGATTCAGGAAATGCCGTGGGTGGTTGGGAAAGGGACAGGGTTCGGGAGGAGGGAGTGGATGGGGAGAGGGGGAGGGAGTGAGAAGGAAAGTGGAGGAAAGAGGGATGCCTGAGAATTATATAGACTGGGAATGGGTTTGGAAAGCTCATTTCAAAAGTTGGCAATGGCAACTGAGTCAAGGGATCAAGGTTATAAAGCAAAATGTGGCATGGTACATGATAATAGGATATTGAAGTAGAGGCTAGTGTTGTCAGTCGCACCCCCCTACCCTCCAATTTCGCGCTTCGTAGCCACGAGCCCCCCCCCCTCCCCCCCCCCCTCCCCCCCAGCGTTCGATTTGTTCGTGCGGTAGTCAGCAGGCCCAGCACGCCTGCCAGCACGCTAACGAGCTCGCCAGCCAACGTGCAAGCTAGCTAGCCAGCCGTTTTAGCCAGCTCTGTCAAACATATTTTGTATATGTCTTATTTGGTATGTGCGTACTCTTAGAGGGTACAACCCCTTAAACCAACCTGTTTGCATCATTCTAGTCATTCGATTCTCATTCTAATATGGTTGTTAAATTGCCTATATCTTTTATATATAATTGGTAGGCTTGGTAGGTGTTACTGAAACCTACTGTAGAGGGTACAACCCCCCTCCTTGTATCGCTCTCTTCTTTTCTCATTCGATTTCCTCTCGTCAACTTCCTCTCCTAGCCTAAAACCTCACGCCTTCCATGGCTTCCTAGTGTCCTTAGTTTGACAATGGTATCACGCTAGGTTAGTCTCAGAATTAGTGAAGTGAATGATGGTAGAGTGAGAGTACACACAGATATACCTAAGTGTTGTACCCTCTAAGAGGCTACCCTATGCAGTCTATACAAACATGACAAATACACGTGTTTGACATGAAATAAATCGTCTGGTGTTGTAGTAGACTAAGTATAAAACTATAAACACAAACACTTGGCAAATCCTCAAGTGTTGGTCCAGGATCTTTGCTGGAATGGTAGACTAGTAAGACAGCGGAAGTCTTGTAAAATATACTGGTCAAGGTTGAATAACCTGAGTACGTGAACTTGTGGTAATCAAAAGTTAATAATGACAAAGATCTAACAAGTATTTATACTTCTACGAAAAGTACCTGTTCGCTAATGTACCTGTTCGTCACTATCGCGCTATGCGCCTTAGATGATAATGAAGAGGTGCGACTATTCGCGTGACTGAAGCGACTGTCCTATGACGAGCGCTATTTGCTGACGTCATCCTACGGACTTATATTCTACAGTAGGATTCGACACTAACTACACTTTATCGATGTTGGAAATATCTCAAAGAACTTAAGCGTTTCTGAATTGTAACAGTACACTCGAGGAAGACTACAAGGGAGCACGCGAGTCAACGGAGGTTACACGAGGGGGCGGACAAAGAATGCGAAAGGTCGCAACTGGAGGTTGCGACTGACCGTTACAGCATCATGGATGGTAACCGAAGCGGGAATCGAGTCGCTGTGCGACTCGATAAACCGTTCCTGTAACTGTACTCTACAACTGCTTTCTTATCTTCTATATATTGCTGTATGCTTGTTCCCTTAATCAATCACTTGTTCTCACATACTAGTACAAGGGTTCAACTGCCTCAACTTCCGCTGCACTACTCCAAGTCTCAAGTCTCTACAGCTGGGACTTAGTCTCTGCAAAAGATCCTAAGGGCTTTTCTCAGCCCAACATGGTATGAGAGCTGGTCAGAGATCAAAACTCCCAGCAACTACACTCCATCAACAACCAGCAACTCAACTTGATTCAACAACTCCATTGATTACAAGACATGGACAACAAGGGCAAGAAAGTCTCTACGGGCTCACCCAGCGCCCAAGAAACTCAACACGGCAACTGTGGTCTGCACACCTCAGGACTGCAGACAGAGACCGGGACTACTCAAGAAACAACGGGAAGAGTACCAGAGATGGTGACTCCGTCTCCCTCTTCAAGTGTGGACCCGAATCTCATGGAGAGATTCTTCAGCTTCATGTCACACTTCGACCAGCAGCAGCAGACAAGGACACCTGCGCACTCAACACAGAGCAATGGAGGGAATATGGGATTAGCGCCGATGAGCCTCGACAACTCATCCTTCGGGCGACACAACCAAGCGCCTACCTTTGCGCCTTATCATTCTTCGCCGGGGACGTTCGAATTCATACCGCCCCGTGCCCAGCCAACAGCAGCTGCTTCACAACAAACACCGAATGAAATCTTAAGTTTACAGGCGCAGTTCTCACACGTGATCAAACTTCAGACATCCTCACCGTTCAACGGACACGACTTCTTTACCTGGAGCTTCGAGTTTGAGCTGCTGATGGAGGCCGCGCATCTTCTGGGATACTTCAACGGGTCCCTGCCATTCCCAAGCAACGGCACTGGGAAGGAACAAGAGATCTTCACGTATCAGTCGCTGCTGGCGTACACGGTACTCCTGAGAAACCTGTCACCACAAGAGCAGCAGAGCATCAGAACGTATCGGAGTTATGGAAACTCCGCGGAGCTCGCATGGCACCACCTCAAATGCCTTTACCAAGCAAACGACAGCGTGACACAAAGCAGACTCATGCAACAGCTGACAACAATACAGATGAAGACCGGGGAAAAGGCGATGCAGTATATGAGTCGCTGCCAGACCCTCCGCGACCGCCTGCTTCGGTGCGGAGGAACGATCACTGAAGAAAGCTTCGTGACACTTGTCCTCGCCGGGCTCGGGCCAGAATGGAGAACCACACGATCACTTCTTCGAGCCCACGGAAGAATTTCGGAGATGCACCTCTGCGCCGAGCTTCACGCTGAACAACAGGAGATGGATCTGTTCGAGGAAAGACAACCAAGGAAGCAACAGCAGTTAGTCTTCTACACTCAAAGAAGAAATGACAACAACTACAACCGACGCAGCAAGCAAGATCAACGCGACAACCGAGGACTCACCATCGTGCCGCCGTTCTGCCACAACTGTCAGACTTCCGGGCACTCCAAGGTCAACTGCAACCGCCCTCGCGTTTACCGTGCAGCAGACCCACAAGTCGCTTCCACTCAAGCAAGTCCTCCAAGGCGCTCTTCAACATCTGCACAACAAACACCCAACATCATCAACTGCATGGTACACATCGACAACTGCGCACCCGCTTCACCACCCACTTACGCACCAGACGAAGAGGAATTCCCGCCGCCGCGCTCGCAAGGACTTCAGGTCAACCCGACATACGCTGCAGTCGCTAACGCCGAACCCACCGGGCGGAACACCTGGTTCTTGGACAGTTGCTGCGGTCAGCACATGTGCTCCTCCGGACGCTTCGTACAACACGAGCGACGCCTCAACCGCGACGTCGTCATCACCGTCGCCAACAACGAAAACCTGAAAACAAACAGGCAAGGCGTGGTTCAGTTACAATCAATGGAGACAAACGTTATTCTTCAGCTCAACAAAGTCCTCATCGTCGACAATCTGGGATACAACCTACTAAGCGTAAGGCAACTAATGGCTAAGGGGATTCACCTGGAGTGCGACTCCTTCTCCAACGAGTTCCGACTTTACCACGGGAAGGGCGGTCTCTTCATCGGTCGTGCCCTCCTGAAGTCCGGTGTCTTCGTGTTGGACTTCGTCCCCGACCGCGGAACTGCCGACAGCGATGGCATCGTATCGTTCGCCGCCTGGACTCACCCACCAGATCTTGATCCCGACTTCGACAGTGACGGCTTCTGGCACTCCAACACCATACCTGCAGCAGAGAGAACACGGGCATTAGCAGTTATCAGACAAGAAAGACAAGTACCAGCAAGCGTCCCAACAAAACCATCACCTGCAGTATCGGCAGCAGGACCCAGCCGAGTACCACCACCATCAACACGAGGACCGCCAACGGAAGCAGACCAACTTATGCCCGCCACACGAGAAGCTTGTCGAAGTCCCGCCTCGGTCGTCGCGTTCTTCTCCAACGCCGACATCTACCACCGCTCGCCCGGTCACCGCGCTCCCGACGACATCTGGCACCAACGTCTCGGACATCCTGCAAACAGCACGATACTACAAACAATACAAGCAGAGGTGTTAGAACGTAACGCCCTTCTAACGACGAGCGGCCAAGAACTTCGCCGACCAAGAGCACGATGCTTCACGTGCCCCGAAGCAGATCTTCCTCATCAACCTTTCCCAGCCCATCACAATCCAAGCGCACCCACTTACGCTCCGATGGAAAAGGTCTACAGCGATATTCTAAACATGCCTCGAGACGACACCGAAGCCGACTTCAACTACGTCATCACGTTCATCGACGCCGCAACCAGATACGTCTGGCACTTCAATCTCAAAACGCGCGATCAAGCCTTCGAGGCCTTCACCACATGGCTTCCAATCGCCGAACGAGAGTCAGGAACCAAACTCAAGAGTTTCCAGTCAGACGGTGCACTGGAATACCAGTCACAACGCTTCAGGACCTATCTCGCGGAAAGGGGAATCCGACGCCTGGTGTCTCTGCCCTATGCTCACCAGCAGCAGGGGGTAGCAGAACGCATGAACCGGACCTTGCAGACGACGATGCGAAAACTGCTTCTGGGGATGAGGCTGCCCAATACACTGTGGCCAGACGCGATGACACATGCAGTCCACCTGCACAACCTGTTGTCCTCGTCATCGCTCCCCAACAACGCATCACCGCACCTGCTGTGGACGGGAAAAAGGGGCAGCACAAAATTACTTCGAGTTTTCGGCTGCATGGTACAATACAGACCCCACACAGCTCGAGCAGGACGCTTCACTCAACGAGCTCGGTGGGGACTACACCTCGGCATCGCCAAACATTTTCACGCGTGGAAGATTCTCGACATACACGACAAAAATACGGTGGCATCACGTGATGTTATCTTCTACGAGCGACTGACGCTGCAGCATTACCTGGACAACATTGCCAACTCAGACGACCCCACCGACGGCTTCGCGGGCCTTCGCTCCTTCGCTGACCATGCTGCCGAGGCTGACGCAGCAGAAGAAGACGTCCCTGGAGCCTCGGAGGCTGCCGGACCACTCCCCTACTGCTCCGTACCTGTTCCACTCGATGAAGATAATCCTCTCGATAGCAACAACCTCGACACCTTTTACCACTTCGCTGACCAAGGCTACGCTACACCACACCCCGTCGACTCGAATATTTCCGAACGCATCGGGCCAAACTTCTTACCCGATCCTGAAGACGGTGATGAAGCAGCTTATCCCGAGAATGAAAACTCCCCTCGACACACAGCCACGGGACTGCAGATCCTAGGACTATGGGTCTCCGTCCAGCACCCGCCGCCGCCTTCTCCGCGCGAGCCGTCGACCCTGTCGCAGGCTCTGGGGGGGGAACATAAGGCACAATGGAAGGAAGCGATGGAAAAAGAGTTAAAAGCTCTGCAAGACCGAGAAACATGGAAACTGGTACCTGCAACGAGCATCAACGGGAAGAACATTCTCTCGGGGAAATGGGTGTACCGCATCAAGACCAACTCAGA